CTAGTTACTCAATGTTGCATAATAATTTGACAAAACATAACTAATCAGTTAATTCTCAAATAGCATCTTTAAACTAGAGATTATTTTTTTTCAGGTATAATTATAATCGAGAAGATGAGGAGATCTACAAGGAGTTTCTCGAAATTGCTCATGAATTAATACCAAATATGTTGAAAACAGCCAGTCTATCCAAATGTTTGCAAGAAAAGACAATATTATGCGATCCACAGTGTTTTGCATATGTTTTACAATTCTATGATGGTATATGTCAATGGGAAGAAGGCAGCTGTACACCTGTGCTTCATATTGGATGGGCCAAACATTTCATCACCTGTATTGCCAAATTCTCTCCCCGTGTCCGAGAATATCTTCATATAAAAACCAATGATGAAGAAACCATGGATATGGAAGACAAAAGTGAATGTACAACTAATGGAGATGGTAACAAAGACCAGTCTACAGAAAAAGGTTTGGCTCAAGATGTGAAGGCAAGTCGCAAAGATGATAAGAAAGAGGAAAGTAACATAGCAGCCATAGCAGGATCTGACTGTGAGGTTCCATCTGAGTTATTAGACACCGTCACCACTACCACTGCCACTCCCTTCACCACAACAAGTACATGGGATGCCAAAACGGATTTTTATGATTTCTTGAGCTCTCAATCGAATGGTAGTGCATTTCCTGGAATGACAATGGAATCCGTTATGAAAGCAGAAAGTCCTGCTGAGATGGTCCTTCATCGGCAGAGTAGATCTGGTCCACATAGTGTAGCATCAGATGAGGGTGGTGTGACATGTCGTGATGCTCTGCCTGTTATGATACCAACCAACATCACTTTCACCAGTGCCAAAATGAAAGGTTTAAAAGACTTGTTGACGTCCCATGGCAAAGTGAATACCAGTGCTATTCAGCTACAATTAACTGCACAGTCACAGACCACAGTTGTGAAAAGAAGTCGGTCAGCTACTGAATATGATTATGTCAGTCAGCGCAGACGACCACGAAGAGAATAAGCCAGTACAGTAAGTTCTATAAATCCTACATTTGTTCAAAGTTATGTTGAAATGAGGTCTTTCGTAAAAGCTTGTATATCAGATTTACCGAGTCAGACATAAAATATGACGTGTTTTGTGTTGAGATTCCAATAGGTAGATAGGTCGTGGAACGTCAATAACAATAGTAAAAAATACTGTTGAATGGTTCAATAATACTGATTATGGCCCAATCATGGCCGCTCACTTGACCTGACATGACAATGGGTTTGATAGATAAAAAAAGTTCCTTAAAAGAATATAGGTCTGAATACTGGCTGACACAAACCTCAAATCCTATGCATATAGGCATATATAGAAGGGAAAGTTGAGGTTAAGAAGGTTCTCTTTGATTTTCTCAGATTTGTTCATTTCATGATATCTTCAATTCTCCTGATTTTGATGAAAATTTTCGGTGAAAATTTGTGTTAAAAACAACAAGTCTGATTGCTTTGATATTATACATATATACACTGCAAGTAAATCTCTCTCAGATTTGTTCATTTTGTGATGATATATTCAATTCTCTAATTTTGATATTTTTGTAATTTTTGGTAAAAAATTATATTTTGGACTTCTTGTTAAAAACAACAAGTCTGAATGCTTTGATATTACATATATAGATACTACAGACCTCTCGCAGATTTGTTCATTTTCTAATGCTATCTTCAGTTCTTTAATTGAAATGTGCATTGCATCTCATGCATGTGATTCTGTGATTTACAGTGATCACATTTTAGTTACAACTCCTGTTCTACGGTAAATTCATTACTACATAACTTACTTTTTCTTGTAGTGTATTTTTAGTGCCCCTTCATGACGAAGTCCGAAAACAGGGACTTATAATTCAGTCTCTGTCCGTCCGGAGTCATATTTCAGAATCCTCTGGACAAATTCCGTTCATTCTTTGCATGTACTTTATGTGGGATATGTGCACATGCAGTGGTTTAGCAATTCGATTCAAATTGGCGGACTGGCAGCCATTTTGTTTTTTGAAAATGTTGTATTTTGGACATGCTTTTCATTCAAATTTGGTACATAGATTATACATGTCAGGATACATGTCCTCCGACCATCCGTGCATCCATCTGTGCGTCCGTCCGTCCGTGCGTCCAGAGTCATAATTTAGAATCTTTTGGACCGATTCCATTCATTCTTCATGTGCCTAATACTTTATGTGGGACATATGCACTTGCAGTGGTTTAGCGATTCAATTCAAAATGGCCGACTGGCAGCTTTTAAATGTTGTATTTTTTACATGCTGTGTCAGTTTTCATTCAAACTTGGTACATAGATTATACATGTTAGGATACATGTCAGTGACAAGATGGCCGACTGGCAGGCATCTTGTTTTTTTTTTAAATGTGGTATCACACATCAAACTAATTGTTTAATTAATTTATTTCAGATGACTTTAATTACCATGCCAACCGTTTCAGTGGTTACAGATGGAGACATGTGAATGACTTAAAGATTTTGATGTTAATTAATATTTTATTGCAGATATTATCCACAAGTGTTTATTCAAATTTTCATTTATCTGTGTTAACCTTTTTTCACTGAGTGATGTCTTACATGTTATGATCCAACCAGAGGTCAGTGTCAACCACTGTATTTCATGTGAGCATTTAACTCTTGTGTTGGTTACATTCTGTTTGTTTTTTATTTGGTGTCAACCATTTTAAAAAAATTCTAAAAAAATGCACCATGTGGTTAGTGTGTATCTATTTATAGAAAATGTGAAGAGTTCACATATTATGAGATGTGGATCATACATGAATGATATATAAGCACAATAAGATAATAGTTACAAAACTTATATGGAAACCATGGTAACACTTTCCATGTGTTGTAAATAATGTGAGATTCTGATGATGTTTTGGTTTCACTATATGTATTTATAATGTAGAAAGCACAGAGGGATTTGGGTGATATGCCAGTCACCGAATACACACTTTATCCTACGATTTCACAGACAATTGTTCACTCTTGAACATGTATGAAGTTTTTTTTTTTTGGGGGGGGGGGGGGGCTTTTCAGAGATGGATCCTAAATTGTATAATACCTTGTAAGATGTAAGAAAAACAAAGCAGAGAAAATAAAAAGAAGGTTTACAGATTTGTGGGTGTTTAGGTTATTAACCCCTTCTTTATCCTTGCAATTATGTTAATCAATAATATTTACATGAACATGTAAAATGGTAATTAATTAATGTTTTATCACATTGCTGCTGGTTGATTTGATGAGTAGTATTAGGGTGATCATTCTTACTGTTAATCCGGTGAGTGTTGGTTGATGATTCTCACTGTTAACTTGGTGAATAAGTTTCTAGTTCTTACTGTTTACTTGGTGAGTGAGTTGCTAGTTCTCACTTGACATGGTGAGTGAGTTGCTAGTTCTCCCTTTACTTGGTGAGTTGGTTGATAATTCTTTACTGTTAACCCGGTGAGTGTTGGTTCATAATTCTCACTGTTAACTTGGTGAATAAGTTTCTAGTTCTTACTGTTAACTTGGTGAGTAGGTTGCTAGTTCTCACTTGACATGGTGAATGGGTTGCTAGTTCTCCCTGTTAACTTGGTGCGAATTTATTGATAATTCTCACTGTTGACTTGGGGAGAGTTAGTTGATAATTTTTAATGTTAATTTGGTGAGAGTAGGCTAATAATTCACACTGACATGAACTTGGTATGTTAACCCGTAAGTTGACCTGTATTTGATGGACCATCTCTGATGATCATTTGCATATAATTTACGTACAA